CTGCTCTGAAACATTAGCATCTCGGTAAGCTGCACCTTGTCTGATTTGTTCCAAAAGCTCTTGATGTAATATTATATTGTGTAAAGCATGACTTGGAATCGTGGAATGCTACAGCTCAGAAACGGGCTGTTCAGCACGTCAAGTCTACCCCATTGTTTATCCCACTTACTTGCTTACTCCTTGTATTTATTTGTAATCCACTTCCTTTGAATAAAGCAACTCTCGCCAACGAGTTAGAAGGTTGTGGGTTCAAACGACAGGATCAGGGTTTTGAGCTCACATAGCCCGGGCTGACACTCCATTTGACGTACCGCGCCATCAGAGGTGCTGGGTGTGACGATTAAACCGATGTCCAGTCAAGTGGACGTTAAAGATCCGATGGCAACATTCTCTCGGGGTGCTGGCCGACAATTTTCCAGATTTTTTTTTAAAAAAAGAGAAGTTCTCGGCTATTTGTGGCACATTGTTGTTGTGTGCGAATTGGCTGCCACGATGTAAATCTTGCATCTCAAACAAACAGACCTGGTTGTGTACTTGGAACGACCAGCCCTGAGCGTTTCTCTGGGGAGGTCAGAAAACCCACGCAGAAATGTTAACCACTGCTTTAGTGGAAGTGATTTCCTTGTGGTGCATCACCCGTGATCGTATAATTATCCGGGAGATATCCTGACACTTGCTGAACTGAAGCTTGAAACCCAATACCATCAGGCGATGTACTGCAGCTTAACTCCTTCTCACTAAGATTTCAATCTTTCAGTTTCTAGATTCTGAGCAGCCCAGAAATCTGTCCTTTCATCAGGCTATTGGATTTGTCCTGTTTTGTGTCTCCCGGTCACTTTTATTTGAAATCCTTTGGCGTTTTAGAACTTTTTTTGGCAATAACCACGTTCACAGCCTTGTTTTCCCCCCCAAAAAAAAGGGCTGATGCATGGGGTCTGGTGGCATCACCTTCAGATTACCTGGACAAGTTTAATGACTGACGACATAACTACTCGCTAAATGCTTCACCGAAATAGTTTTGGCATTGCATCAATCTCAAGAGATCGTTTCTTTGTTCTGTGCAACTCTGAAGTGAATTCCACTTTTTAAGTGGAATCCAGATCTAAAGTGAGCTCTCGCTTTGCGGACAGGACCGAAGATCTACATAAAGAGAAGCAGCTTAAGTCGCCTATACAGATAGGATACTGCGTAAACCAATTTAACAAAGCGTGTCCTAAGTAGTTTGTAGAATGAGTTTGATCTCATTCGATTAGAACCAGGTCTCGAAATGGAAGGAAGGCCCTCATTTTTAAATAGTTTGAAACGTCGCAGAACAGGTGTGTTTTTCCACAAGCCGAGTAGTTCTTTTTGAACACGGACGTTACATGCTGACTTTAATTTCAATATCACCCATCTTGAAACAAACAGCGCGTTCCCCAAGGCACGAAGGAGGGTGTAGTTTCGCCCACAAATATACAGTCAATTCAGTTCACAGTCTATCCTGTGAAGCGCTTCGAGCCGTCTGGAAGATGTGAAAAGCGCTATATCAAGTGCAAGAATTATTATTATTGTTATAGTTTGGGTTGGGTTATCACATGGAAGAATACCACGGCTCTGCGCTAACACAGTTATATTGTGCTGGAAATGTAAAAAAAAAAGAGATGCAGACAGTAGTAAGTGGGTGGTGTGTGCAAAACCCCCCAAAAAACTGCAAATTGGAATACAGGGGTGTGTGTCTGTGCTGGATTGACCCTGATGTTTGCCTGATGTGGTTGGCTCGCAGTGGGGAATAATCAGGAAGGATCAAATCGACTTGAGGTTCACTGAAACACCTGGAATGTATTTTCAGGCAACGTTTCTTACCACGTAAGAAACATTTCCAGGAAGTCTTAAATCATCCAATGGTTCACCCAACTTGTGAAAAGAAGAGGGAGAAGTTTCTCTTCCCGTTCGTTTGTTTTCTTCCCCTCGTTGGCATTAAATGCACAAAAAAAGCCGTCAACGCCCAATCCATAGAGAGGAAAGCACACGAAGAAAGGACAGTGCCTGGATTTGGCATAGATATTGTTACAGCAGTGCTTGTGGTTTGTGCCGTTGGACCAGTAATTCTAAAAAAAACTTAGCTACTGGTGAATAAAGCTATTTTGAGGAGTGGAAATACAGAGGTGATATGAGCGGTTTGCATTCTTTTTTTTTACATTTTGTTTTAGTACTCTGGTCTTTTGGTTGTATTTTCTTTCTGCCAAAATAGATTCAGGGACGTTTGAGCATTGAGTAACTTCACACTTCTTTCTTCCGTTCATTCATTCATTCATTCATTAATTCACTCGTTCATTCATTCGTTCGCTCGTTCGTCCGTTCATTCATTAATGGCTTAATTTAACCAGCCTTTAAAAGTTCAATCCGGAGAAGCCGATGGGAAAACGCTTGTAAAATGGGTGACTCTGACCTGTTGAGGGTGATTAATTTCGGTTGACCTGCCGTGATGTTGAGAGGCAGATCAAATCGGACTGGATTATGTCAGACCAAACAACCAGCTGCTTTGTTTCCAGAGGAAAGAAGATCGTCTGCCAGACAGTAATATTCGCTGGAACCTCCGCTACCCTTGTGGATCATTAAAATTAATGAAAAGATCAGTCTTCTATAAATACTGCTTGGCAGTGGCATTTTAAACCTGATTCAAATGAATATGTGTTTAATCTCTTAAGGACAAGACATTTCTAAAATATCCCATTGATCCTCGATATTGGTAATATTTTTTTTAACCCCTTAGCCACCATACGCACTGCCATGGAATAGGATGGTTGCTTTAACCCTTCGGTTTCTGAGCACCCATTAAGTTTCCCGAATCCACACCTGCTTTTTGTTACCAAGCTAGTTTTAACGACTTCATTCTTTTAAGAGGCCGAATGGAATTAAGCCGGTATCTTCAGTTCAGGTCATTGGATTGTTGGTTCACTGTTTGGAATTTCCTCCTCGTGGCAGTGTTGGCTGCGTCACTTGAAAGAGAAAGTTGTGTTATTTCAAGAAAGAAATAAAAGGAATAACTTCTGGTGGTTCAGCCTAGGAGTAGTGTTTTGAGTTTTGTTGGCAACATAGCAACGTAGTCTGCCAGGAAATTGATGAGAAGTGAAATAAAAGGAACTTGCATTTTTTTACAACGCCTCATCACATTAAAAAGTCTCTCCCTTTCCTAATGAACGTCTGTGTGTTTTTCTAAGCAGGGGGTTTGCACTAGCAAGGTCCCAGTGGCAGGCACGAGGTGAATGGCCGGTTAATCTGGAGTATTTTTTGGCCACCAGATCGGGAGACACGCTGTTCTCTTTTCAAATAGTGTTAAGGGATCTTTAATGTCCATTTCAAGAATAAGAAGCCCAGGTCTACGTTTAACGTCTTGTCTGAATGATTGCGTCTCCATTAACAGAGCACTGCCTCAGTGTCTGGTGTGTCAGCTCACATTGTGAGCTGAAGTCTTGTCATGGGGCTCAACTCACAACCTCCTGACCCACAGGCGAGAGTATTCCGCGCTGAGTCAAGCTGACAGGTGGATAGAATTACAAAGACTTTCTCATGCTATGCAACACGTCGCTGAAATGCTCCACCACATGTCAGTAGCTTCAGACCCAATTTCTCCTTTATATTTGAAGCACTTTTCCATTCTTTGTCCAGAATTATTGGTGTCCTTAAACCAGTAAAAAGCAGAAAATCCCAACCTCTTGAACCTTTGGATGCACAAATCTCAAAATTTATTTCCCATAAAGTTTTATACGCGGTTACAATTTTGGATCCTGAGTCATGGGAGTAAGTTTGAATCCCAAATTTTCAGGCAGGTATTCAAAATGTTATTGTGGTAAGTGAGTGGGCAGTGACTCCAAAGCTTTAAAGAATCCCCAATCGGATTCAAGCAGGCGGTACAATAATAATAATAATAATCCTTGCATTTGATATAGCACCTTATTACGTCATTGAGACGTCTCAAAGCACTTCACAGAATATAATTTAACGTGAATTGACTGTATATTTTGTGGGCGCAACATGGCAGCCACTGTACGGTTAAACAGCAAAATATGTTTTCCTTCAACCTACCATTCTCTTACTCCATTTGCAGCGCTTATAGTCTGTTGATGTTTGTCTTCAAGTCTTACTCTTTTCCCCCCCCCTTCACCTCACACACGCACAATCATGATACCAACAATGCAGAAATGTATGGTGGCAGAATTTTAAAAAAAAAGATATTTGGCCGGGTTAGAGATTTGAAGACTTTTTTTGCAAGTTTTATTTCAATCTGGTTCCACATTTTTTTTTTAAGTTGACTCGAATAGGTAGGGACCTGCTTCACAGTGATCCCTGAAACAGTGTGTGTTACAGGGGAATTTCGGGGAATGCTAGTTGATGCGATTGGACTGTCGGAATGTCTTTGAGGGCTAAACAGCTTGTCGACTCTTTCTACAAGACCGACAAGCAAGGTTGCAGGTACACTGATGGCCTCTTCCCCCCCAAGAGAACAGCACCTGAGCAAGAATCCTTGCCTTAAGTAGTGGATAGTGGCTTTAAAAAAAAAGCAATGACGCACAGCGCTGTGGATTGCAGGGGCTCTTAGTTCGATCCCTCCCTCTTAAGTTCCAGATCTCCCAGCCTGTGCGTTCTGCTAAGGTGCTTGAGGATAGGGCAGAGAGAGAAAAAAAATCAGTGAAACATATGTTCGCCTTAGGCCACCTTGTGCATTTCCTCCTTGCCAGGAAGTGGGAATAGAGAGACAGAGAGCGAGGGGGTGGGTGTGGAGGCCGGTCTACGTAGAAACAAGGAGCTCAGGAGTTCAAAATTTGCCTTATCGCTATATTTAATATTGCACCTTTTCTGTCGCCTCCCCTCACACCACCGGCCTTTATTCAAGCACGCTGGGCAGAAAGACACCTGTTTAGATAATGAACAATTGTACCGATAATACAGTCGCTAATTTTTTCTCTTTTCCCCCCCACCCCAACCCACCCCCACCCCCGCACTCCCCTTCCCTCCCCCAGCAGATTCTTCCAATTTGGGGTTATTGGAGTGGCCTGATTTTTTCTGGAGTTGAGCATTAAATTCAGAAGACTGAAGCCCAGGCTTACTGTCTACCTTTCACGGAGGCCAAGCCGTGAGAGGACAGAGGAAGGAACGTGGCGCATCATGACAGCAGATAAAGAGAAAGACCGCGATCGGGACAAGGAGAGGGACCGAAGGGACAAACGAGAGAATGAGCATTCCAGGCCTCGCCGCAGCTGTACTTTGGAAGGAGGTGCCAAGAATTACGCGGAGAGCGACCACACGGAGGATGAGGAGAACGACAAGGACAGTGGTACCACAGAGGACGCCGGGAAGAAGGCGAAGATAAAGAAACCGCCCAAAAAGAAATCTCGATACGAGCGAGCCGAGACTGGTGATATAACTTCATTTGTTACAGAAGATGATGTCGTCTACAGGCCTGGAGGCAAGTAATAATTCATAATAGATTTCCTGAATGACCCGTTTTGAAAAGAGAATAATGGATGCCCAGGAGTGATTACAAGACAGCTGTCTCACCAGGGGTTCAGATAACATCATGCAGTTAAAAGCCGTGAAAACTCTGAACAAATCTCTGTATCTGCCATCTGAACCCCTGATTCAGATGCCAGCTACAGGATATTATTGCCTTGAAACTGCTCCCCTTCTGTTGTGCTACTTGTCACCACATGTACTGGTGGAGTTGGGGGGAAATGTTACTTTATTTGTTAAGTTTCATGCGTCCCTTTTGCCTGTTTTTAATCTCTGTGCCCACCCAGTGAAGGTGAATAGCGTCCATACCTCTAGCATTACCAGGTAAGGTGCACTTTGTGTGGGATTGATCAGTGTGACTCCTGCTTTGGCTGAAATGTGCCTTAATCATCACTTCGGAAAGACAGCTCGTAATATGCCTTTTGTGTGAATTTTCTACTGTCTGCATTGAGAGTGCCGGTTGAGACACGGACTCACATCCACTGCCAAAGCTCCATTGTTGAAGGGTTTAGAGCAGGGAGAGAAGACGTCCATTATTTGATTAGATCTGGACTTTGGTCCGGAGCTGAAATGACCATTGTTAAGTATACAGCAATAATCGTTTGGGTCCTGTGCATTCCGATGTAGAGGACATTACTGTGGAGTTGTCAACTTGCCTCAGTTGGTAGGATTCTGTCCTTTGAAAACTACTTTAATAATAATAATAATTTTATGATAATAATTATTATTAGCCACCCACATTGTTATTTGAGCTCCCAGTCTCGGTGGACTCTCCAGTCCAGTACTGAGTGAACGCTGGATTGTTAAATGGATTGTAAAGATCCCATGTTAGGAAAGAGAAGGGAGCTTCTCCCAGTGTCCTGGCCAAACATTTGCTTGTGGTAGATTTCGACCATTGGAACCACTTACAGTGAAATACTCTCTATGATAAACAGAGTGAGGCATTATATCTCCGAGATCAATTAAAGTAGGCAGTCATGGATCATGATCACCTTCGGCCTCCCCCGTAACTTTGGACCTCGATCTCTCACCAAAAGGAAGGCTCACTCACAGTGCAGTAACTCCCCTCCCCCTGTATTGAACAGGAGTTTCAACCTAGACTGTGAGCACAAGTCACAATGTGGAAGAAACGGACTTGACGGTGAAATGGCCTTTTCTTGTTCTGTGTTCATGTGTTTTTAACGAGGAGGAAGGTTTAAAATCCACTTAGTTTCGAATTCAAAATTGGGTTATTGGTAGTGGCTTTTTTCCACAAAAAAGTCTTTTGATGGTCTGAGGTATGATGTAGCCTTCTGTAACTGAGCCATCAGTCTGTGAGTGAATTAAATAACGGATGGCAATATTGAAACACATTTGGGTCTTGTTTAAAAACAAATACACACGTACTTCCAGTTTAATGAGTGTAATGGACTCAGTGGGTGTGTGTAGCTTTTAGCTCAGAATCCATTTCAGTGCAGATTTTCTGCACGTCATAACGGCCTCTGGTGTACTTATCATGCCCATGTTTTTATTCATTCATTAATGCCTCGATCTTTAGCTTTCCGCCCTCGCTGCTTAAAATGTAAAGTGGAATCTGCGAAAGCATCTTGGAGTTCAGTCGTGTTTGTGTTCGTTCTTGACTTGGCCTAACAACCTGTTAAAATGTCAAGAATATCAAAAGACTGAAAATATTTAATTATAGAATGCAGATACGATGTCTTCTAACCACACGAAAATGCAGTGCATCACACCGCTGCAAACAAGACCACTCTTGTTTGATTTTATTCAAGGCTCTTTGTAATTTAAGGTTTGGTTGAATTCTGTCCTCTATAGTTTGGATACCCCAGGGGTTAACATAATGAAGCTGTTCTTCAGAGTGGCTGATATGGTATTTAAGGATGTCATGCTCGCATTTTTATTTCTGCAATAATAATACAGCCTATGTAGAAGATCTTTTATCTTTCAACTATTTCTGTGATGATTGGGTGATGTTTTGCTGAACATGGCTGATTCTTTTGTGATGATGTAGTTCAGGTCCTAGTGGTGTAATTCGTACACTGTAATTCAACAAATTCCAGGAACTATAATTAGCTCATATAATTTTACCCTGTGATTCCACACTAACCAATTTTCAAACCAAATCTATAATTGAACACTCCTTAAGCATTGGAGAAGCTGATGAGAAGTTTTGAAAGTAAAGTGAGAAGGATTTTGTCTTCCAAGTATCACCTTCAGATTAGGTCACTGGTTTAGTCCCGCCCCTCAGTTCAGCTTGGACCTTTTTTTTTATCTGACGAGCGGATTTAAATATCTTCCAGTTGGGTCCCAAGAATTTCCCTCATATCCTTTTGTAGAATATCGCAGCCCAGAAAATCCTTCCGGTTCATCAAGTCTAATGTGTTGTTTTCTCCACCTAAACCACCTCATCTAATCTCTTTCTCCTGCTCACTTCCCATTCCATTTAATCTTCCTCGTTACCAATCACTCCCTATATAAAGATTTTTTCCCCCTAAACTCTAGCTTACATCCTTCTTTGTGATTATCTTAAAGGTGTGGCTTCTTGTTATCAACTCTGACCAGTGGAAATAACCTATTCCTGTATTATTTATCCTATCGTGACCTTCATAATCTTGAATGCCTCCATCAATATTTACTTAACCTCAGCTTTAGTGAAAAAAATCACTTTGCCTTTTCTACGGCTTTTATATTATTCTTGCACTTGACAGTGATTATTCTAAAGCATTTTGAAACCTTATAACATTCAAGGCAAGTTTTTTTTTCTTTATTTCTTTCGAACAGAAGGTGGAAATGAAGTTCTCATGATTCTTTAATCAGCGTGGTTTAATCTGGCTCGACCACTGAAAACTTTCATGAAGTTGCTCTGTTTATAATGCGGTCAGGGACTGACTGACATCTCACACACATTGTTTCAGTGATGTAGTGGCTGGACTTAAGTAAGATACTCTCAATTGAGTCTATTCGAATGGTACTGAGTCCAAGAGCAAAAGATGGGTCTTCTCTGATTTGCTAACAGAGCTGCAATCATTCATCACTGGATGTGTAGCCTGTATAGAAGATTGCAGTTTCTGATGGTGCCAAGTTGGGCTGTTTGTCCTTAGAGTAGAGGTGAGTGGGGATATACAGTCAATTCACTTTACGGTATATTCTGTGAAGCGCTTTGAGCCGTCTCGAAGACTTGATAAGACGCGATATCAAATGCAATGCGTGGAGTCCTGTAGCTCAGTGGTTAGAGCACTCGCTTTGCAAGTGAGAGACCTGAGTTCAATTCCAGGCAGGGCGAAACCTTGGGCAAGTTTCCTTACTCCACACGCCTAATAATAATCCCTCCAAAAAACCAAAAACAATAATTAAATTGGTCATTTTCAATCTACGACTGTTTGTGGGACATTGCTGTGCGCAATTGGCTGCCGCGTTCGCCCACAAATATACAGTCAATTCACTTTACAGTGTGTTCTGTGAAGCGCTTTGGGACGTCCTCCTGACGTGAAAAGCGCTATATCAAATGCAAGGATTATTATTATTATTATTATTATTATTAATGACTTGGTGCTTTCTGGACTGAAGATGATGCACCATTTTGTGCTTGCAGTTGAAATTTGTCTTATGTGGTTGTGGTGATTTGTTCATCGAAACGGAAGGCAAGATTCCTTACTCCACACACCTCTGTTTACTTAGCAGTAAGTTGGAGCCTGGTTGTTGGTGGATTGGCAGATCACTTTTCCGGGGGTAATAATCCCTTCAAAAATAATAATAATAATTTGGTCACTTAATCCATGACTGTTTATGGAGACGCTGCTGTGCACAATTGACTGCTGCGTTTCGCCCACAACATATACCACCAAATCACTTTACAGTGTATTCTTTTAAGCGCTTTGAGACCATTGCAAAAACGTGATCAGGCACAGCCAATTGTGCCCAGCAGTGTCCCACAAACTGTCATGGATTGAATGACCAATTTATCATTATTGATTATAATAAATGTCATAGATGCCCATCAGACATCCTAGGCAATTGCTCAGGAGGTGGGAAATTCTGGGAGTTTGGAGAAGCAACAATACTTATCAGCGATGAAATGGGCATTAAAAACCTGGACGACTTGAAGGCTTGCAAGAACCAGGTCCAGGTGGAATACATTGAAGATTACGGAACGATATGAGGAATGTAGTGGAGGAAATTTAGTGACCTCATTGAACGGATGGTTGATGCTGGAGGATTGTAAATGCCTAATGAGATTCCAATCTTAAAAGGTCAGAAGAAAATTCCTGGGAATTATAGATCAAGCTTACTGACATACGTGGTGAGTATAACACTGGGGTCTATTATAAAAAAGCAATTTAAGAGATTTTGTGAATGTAAAGGCAATAAATCAAAGCCAGCATAGTTTATGAAAGTCAGGTCAGTCTTTTGAAGATGGTAACATGTTTTGTGATTGAGAGTTAAGTTGCAAATATTGTATCTCACCTTTCAGGAAATGTGTGAACAAAGCATTTGCGCAATAAGTATGCTTGATCCACGACTGTGATGTCCTGTAGAATATTGGTTAGAGCAATTGTCTCGCATGCCAGAGGACCTGGGTCCGATTCCTGGGCAGAATGAAACCGTAGGCAAGTTTCCTTACTCCACGCGCCTCTATTTACCTCGCAGTTAGTAGGAACTGGGTTGTTAGTCGATTGGCGTACCGTTTTTCCAGGAGTAATAATGACGTGATAAGGCACTGTATACATATCAAATGCAAGGATTATTATTATTATTATAAATAGAATTTGGGGTAAAGTAAAGGGCCCTGGGATCTGAGATGAAATTGAAATAACGTGATTATCTCTTGAGTGGAAATTAAGGAATCAGTTATAGTTTGTGTGATGGTGGTTCTAATTTTAGAGCGTTGACCGATTTTCCCCAGAGTTGCTCTTCCGTTTTGTGATTCTCTTTAAATTAGCGATTTTACTTTTTGTTGTA